CCACGCGAGAGCCCGGCGCACATCGGCCAGCCTGCCCTATGCCAGCCGACTGGCATGGCTCCAGCAGCGGGACACCGAGCAGAGGGCAGACTGGGTGAGCCGATTCAGGGAGTCCAACCTGACGCTGGGCCAGGTCATCAAGGCCACATACGAGGCGCGGGACGCCCACTGGGTCCCGACCGGACATCTCTCGGCGCCAACCAGGGAGCGCCAACAGGCGTCGCCTGCCAAGCCAGCGGCGAAGGGGGGCAAACCCCCGCTGGCGAAGCCGATCGCAGGGAGAGCGGTCGCACGCGCCATGAGGGATGGCACTGTGCTATGCCAAGCTTTCCAACATGGGCAATGCAAGGCGGGGCAGTCATGCCCCAACGGCCAGCAATGCAAATCCCGCAGGAAAAGGTGGGTTGTTAGTCTATCAGACTCGTGTAGCATCGCTGGAGTGAAAATGCTGCGGTGCTGTTTATGTCAAACCTCCTTGGGAATGATTGATCGAATTGATTTGGCTAATAAGCGGATGGCTGGCTGGGTGGATGAATGGATGATCAAGGGAAAGATGGATTGGTTATGATATGGTATGCTTGATTTGCGTCCGAGCGATAGCGACAGTGTCCGTCACGCGTGCCGGCTCAGCAGCTCGGACTTGGGTTTCAGTCAGTGAATTACTTCCAAGCGAAGTCGAACCCTGTCGAGAGCCGAACTTTTTAGCAGTTGTCTCCGGCGCGGTTTCCTTACACGTGCTCGTTTCTTGACTAACGAAACCTTGTTCGCTGTGCCTTGGCGCGTTGACTCTATTCTTTTGCGGACCGTTTCCTCAGTCACGAAACCTTCTCGTCCCGGCATGCTGTTCCCGTCGTTTCCAGGGCGCGCAACCTTGTCCGGTCCCGTTTCCTGACTCACGGTCGTTTCCTGCCTCGCGACACCTTATTTCCTTGACTCCAAACTTTTCACAGCGTCCCAGTTTCCCACGTCCTTTCCTCACGCGGGGCCGTTTCCTGACTCACGAAACTTCTGTTTAGGCAGCGCCCCAGCAAGTCGTTTCCTGCGCTGTTTCCTCACTCAGTCATTTCCTGACACCGCTCCACCCGTGTCCCGACTTGGACCCGTCCGTTTCCCGACTTGGACCCGTCCGTTTCCTGACCCGAACCAGCCTGTTTCCCGACGCTACCCAGCCTGTTTTCTCGACTTTGTTTCCTGACTCGCCCCTCTCCCGTGTGTTTGGTTTCCGGGTTAACATGTGTATGTTGTGTCAGTTTGTTGAGGCGTTTTAGGTGTCTAGATCCCCACCAAAATGATGTCCACCAGATTTGTTTAGGACAATTCACACCCTGATGCGACTTTCAGGCTTCCGCAGCCATTCTTGAGATCAGCACCGTTTTTCGCGATCGGCGCCCTTGCTGGCTTGTGGCATCATGTGCAGCTGGCTTGTTATGCCTGGTGACAGGTGCAGTTCATAGGCATTTCAGCGTGCGTACGATTGCTTGGACAAGTCTGTGTTGTGGCCTATTTGTTGCTTGTCTTTTGGTGCTGGTTAGTTTTGTGTGTTTTTGCTGCTTGCTTGCTTGCTTTGCTTGCTTTGCTTTGCCTCGCTTCGCTTTGCTTTGCTTTGCTTGCTTGGCTTGGCTTGGCTTGGCTTGGCTTGGCTGCTTGCGGGCTGCTTGTTGGTTGCCGTTGTCACGAGGCCATTGCCTTGTCGCCTTGTCCTTGGCCTTTCCTCAGCTGTTCTTCTTCTTATTGGTGGTGAAGGTGGAGGTCGTGGCGGAGGTGTTGTTGTCGTTGCTGTTGTTGCTGCTGCTGCTGCTGCTGCTGCTGCTGCTGCTGCTGTTGTTGTTGTTGTTGTTGTTGTTGTTGTTGTTGTTGTTGTTGTTGTTGTTGTTGTTTGTTGTTGTTGTTGTTGTTGTTGTTGTTGTTGTTGTTGTTGTTGTTGTTGTTGTTGTTGTTGTTGTTGTTGTTTGTTGTTTGTGTTTGTTGTTGTTGTTGTTGTTGTTGTTGTTGTTGTTGTTGTTGTTGTTGTTGTTGTTGTTGTTGTTGTTGTTGTTGTTGTTGTTTTTGTTTGTTGTTTTTGTTTGTTGTTGCTGTTGCTGCTGCTGCTGCTGCTGCTGCTGCTGCTGCTGTTGTTGTTGTTGTTGTTGTTGTTGTTGTTGTTGTTGTTGTTGTTGTTGTTGTTGTTGTTGTTGTTGTTGTTGTTGTTGTTGTTGTTTGCTGTTGCTGTTGCTGTTGCTGTTGCTGTTGCTGTTGCTGTTGCTGTTGCTGTTGCTGTTGCTGTTGCTGTTGCTGTTGCTGTTGCTGTTGCTGTTGCTGTTGCTGTTGCTGTTGCTGTTGCTGTAGCTGTTGCTGTTGCTGTTGCTGTTGCTGTTGCTGTTGCTGTAGCTGTTGCTGTTGCTGTTGCTGTTGCTGTTGCTGTTGCTGTTGCTGTTGCTGTTGCTGTTGCTGTTGCTGTTGCTGTTGCTGTTGCTGTTGCTGTTGCTGTTGCTGTTGCTGTTGCTGTTGCTGTTGCTGTTGCTGATGCTGTTGCTGTTGCTGATGCTGTTGCTGTTGCTGTTGCTGTTGCTGTTGCTGTTGCTGTTGCTGTTGCTGTTGCTGTTGCTGTTGCTGTTGCGCTGTTGCTGTTGCTGTTGCTGTTGCTGTTGCTGTTGCTGTTGCTGTTGCTGTTGCTGTTGCTGTTGCTGTTGCTGTTGCTGTTGCTGTTGCTGTTGCTGTTGCTGTTGCTGTTGCTGTTGCTGTTGCTGTTGCTGTTGCTGTTGCTGTTGCTGATGTTGTTGTTGTTGTTGTTGTTGTTGTTGTTGTTGTTGTTGTTGTTGTTGTTGTTGTTGTTGTTGTTGTTGTTGTTGTTGTTGTTGTTGTTGTTGTTGTTGTTGTTGTTGTTGTTGTTGTTGTTGTTGTTGGTGGTGTTGTTCGTGTTGTTGGTGCTGCTGCTGTTGTTGTTTGTTGTTGTTGTTGTTGTTGTTGTTGTTGTTGTTGTTGTTGTTGTTGTTGTTGTTGTTGTTGTTGTTGTTGTTGTTGCTGTTGCTGTTGCTGTTGCTGTTGCTGTTGCTGTTGCTGTTGCTGTTGCTGTTGCTGTTGTTGTTGTTCATGGCTGGCAAAAGGCACATGTTGCTATTTCGTGCGCCAGGTTGCTACTGCGCGCAGTGACTCTCACCTCGGAGTTGCTGCCGCTGCGGAAGAACAGCCAAAGGGACCGGAGGGTTTTGGGTTTCGACCGGAGGGTTACGGTTGAGGATTGGTCTTGTTTGGTTGGACCGTCGCTCGACGAAGGAAGCGGTCTGGGAATGGCGCAAGGAAATTGGGAATGGCCTCGGAAAGGGGAGTCACCTCATATTCGGACCCGCGACGCCTGAAAGGCCCAGCCCATGGCACAGACCAGCTCCACCAAGATGCTGACCTACCTCCAGCCGAAGATCGCGTGGCAGTGGTGGCCTGCTCGGTCTTGTTCTCAAACGCTCCGGTCATTTCAAAGCCTGCTCAGGTTCTGGAACGCCCCTGGTTGCTGGTGCTGGTACTGGCGCCTGTCTGCTTGGGCCTGCTTCTCAGCACGGAGTTGCGCGAGGTGTTGGGCAACTCGTGCCATTTTTTCGCATCTGGCGTCACCCATCTTGCAACTCATGCCTTTGGTTTGGCTGCCCTGCTCTTCAGGCAGTTGGTGCAACCGTGTACGCCGGATGTGGTTGCCAAGTGTCGTTTGGCCGCGGAATTCGGCAGGCCTGGCCGGTTGGTTTTCGCGCCCTGCTCATGTGACCCTGCGCTCGGGCCGGAGCAGCGGGTCTCCCAAAACCCGACAAAACTTGTGGTTAAACCAGCATGGTTATGAAGGTCTATATGGTGGGCTTTCTTTTAGCTTCCCTTGAACACCAACACAAAAAAGGAACCCCAAGAAAAGAAACATTCATGGAGGCTTTTCACCCGGATTAAACCAGGAAGTAGAACCACCTCGAGGTCTCCCAACTGAGATTATCCCTACAAAGTGCAGAATGTAAACTGGCAAGGGCTTCCTTTTTGCGTTCTCTTTAATACCAACCAAAGGGGGGCCATCATTTTTGGAAACTCCGGCACAGGTGTGTGTTTGCTAAGGGAACTCCTAAAAATCGGTGGCAGTCTACTAATAATAAAAGTACTATGGATATGAAGCGCCTTGGGAATGGGACCAGGGAATGGCGTCGTGCGAGGTACAGCATCGTCTACAAGTCCCGCGAATGCGTTGTGGAGCAGTCGAAGGCGACGGCTTGGTGGTGATTCGCGATTCGTCCCCGCGGGGCACTGTTGCTTCTATCTAGGGTTGCGGATTCGTAGATCACCCAAGTGGATTGCTCTCGAAACAATAAGCAATTGATTGTGTACTGTGTTTGTTGTTTTGTTTGTATCTAACTATAGCTCAGTAGGCAGTAGGGTTTGCCCATTTATTTGTGGTTGTAATATTCTCTGGAATTGGAAGTAGTATTCGTGAGGAAATATGGTTTTCATGTTTTTTTCAATGTGTATGGCGCAAGAACGATGATAATACATATATATGGTAGAGGTCTGGTACCCCCCCCCCCTATATATATATATATAACCAAAAAATACGGTTGTGTCTTCTTTTGAGGGTTCGCTTGCTAAGGCAACCCATTAGGGGCTATATCCAATTGTTCACGCCAAAGTTCCTTGAGGTGGAGTTTCTATACACCCGCGTTGGGGGTTTACCACTGATCCGGTTTCGGCGTTCCAGGCTGGCTCCGGTTTTCAAGAAGCCAACCCCGGGGCTTGCAGAAACGGCTGGGACGACCGAGTTCGAAATATCTTCTCTTCCAATATGACCCACAGCTCCGTAAAAGATACATTTTGCCCGTTTCAAACATGGCTTTTTCCACCAACATAAATGGAAACCACCATTTACAAGGCAATGTTCAGGTGTATAATGTAAGGATCCCTGTGACCCCTGCAACAAATGAAAGGAAACAGCCTGCAAATGGCCAAAGCGGTCAGCTTGGCATGGCCAACGCTAGGCAACATTGCAATTGACTCCCATCAGCCAGCGTTTGGCCCACTTCAAGATATCGGTCGGAGCCGGCGCCATGGCTGGCACAAGTCCTTCCAGGAGCCGGTCAAGGAGTCGGTCCCGTGTTTCCTCGTCGCGGTCGAGCCGGAGGAGTTCCTCTTCCCAGTCAAGCCGGAGACGATGTTCTTCGCGGCCAAGCCCCAGCTCCTGTTTGAAGACCCCCGAGCCATTTCCCAGCAGACAACCAACTGAGGCGCACACGCCTTTGCCGCAGAACTTTGTTGAGCGCCTCCTTGCTGGCCATCCGGCAAGTGCAAAGCGACAGAGGAGGTCAGTTGCTCTTGTTGCTCCTGCAGTCAAACGCCGGTTCAATCTTACACCCAAGCCCAAGGAGATGCACGTTTTGGCAAGACCTAGGTCTGATGGGTTTGACCTCGACAAGCCAGAGCGAACCGAAAAGAAGACTATTTACGAGTTGATGGCGTGCCTGGCTTAGTTGTTCCAGGTTTCTTGCAATATGAAGTGTGAAGGCACGCATGCGGATCTGGTTCTTTGTCACGATTGTGGCCAACATGGCGAACCCTACTGGCTGGTCAGCTTGCTTGAAGGTTGAACTTGTTCTTGCATGTTTGATGCTGACACGTTATTATAGAAGACATTTTAGGTATCCCCCCGCCCAACAACAGGCAAAAGTGCTTTTCTAGTATTCGGACCAGCCAAACGTTTGGCCTTGCTGGGGAGCTCCATGTAGATGCGCCCTACTGCTTGGCCGCGACTCTTTTGCGTCTACCACTGCCCCCTCCTCAACCATTATGCTTAGCGTCGCGTGGGCTTGCGCGACGTAGCGCAGCCAGCGCACAGCTTACGTAGATCAGCCGCAGTCACTCATATCAATTTCAAAACCCGATCGGTATGATTTACATCAGCCTCGCCAAGGCGAGGGCCATATTCACTGCATTGCGGCTTTCACGCGCTTTTCGGTTTTGACAGTGAAAGCTACACACTTGGCTTCTGGAGCAAGCGTTGCAGGCAGCTGACAGTCGGCATGGGCCGTGGCCCTGCCCGAGGCACAGCGGCTGCAAAACAAAACGCTGCAGTGGAATCGAAGTCAGACGGCAAAATTACCCGCTTCCAGAGCGCCTTGGAATTGCCATGCAAGCCTCGTGTTCTGCGAAATTTGCAAAACGAAGCCCACGTGCAATCCGCGGGCAACCCGCGGGCGCCGCAGACTCACAGTTCGAAAGAATTCCGAGCTGGCATGCGCTGAGTGCCAGAAAGCCCAGCCGGAAGCGCAAAATCAAGCAGCTTTTTTCCTGATTTTCTTGCCTCGGTCCCACTGGCCTTGCGGCCTAGGGCCGGCCAGCAGCTCAGAGAAAATTGGGAAGTTCGAAAGCATCGAATAAGGGGGTCCCCCTTCTCAAGGTCACTCCCAAACGGTCTTGTTTTGGCCCCTTTTCGATCGTGTTCCAAATTGCGCTTCCAGCAAGTGGTCACTAAAAACAAGTGGTCAGGGGCCTTGTGTCAGTCGTTCTGAAATCCAAAAAAAACCACCCTCAGGCGCTTACCGCATACTCGAAGTGGTCAACGGCCGCAAGAGATGGGCATCTCTTGCACAGTGAAGGTTGAAGGCGGTCTTCAATCGCTAACATGCACGGCTGCGGACAGGGACGGAGTGTTTTATGCATGGAGTGGCAAGGAGTTTAGGGGCGAGATCTTCGAAAGGAGAGTTTTGGCTGAGAATTCTGCCGCCAGCCTTTTCATCAACGATCCGGATGTTCGGGCGACTGCTGCTGATGTTGAGCCATCCAACACCATGATTCGGCAGCAAGAGAAGCGGTTGAATTGGATGCGGAGGGACAATCTCATGCGCTTGGGCTTTGGCAAATCCAACGGGACCAACTGTTGAAACAAACACGATTTATTGATATTGAGGAGGTACTTAAAGGTGTTTCAAATGCCCGATCCTCGCGAGGGATAAAGAGATGAAATAAAGGAGATGCCAATCGCTGGAACTGGGCGCCGTTGCGGTCCAGCTGTTCACACCCTGGTTGGGCGGTGTGGTTTGATGGTGATTTTATTGAGCTACATGTTGGTTCCAGACTGGAGGGCGCACATGGCCATTTGTTGGGCGGGCCACCTTTCGTTCCTCCCCCTCACAGGCATACCTTTTGAGAAGGCGGCGGCTCTGCAACGTGCCTGAAGCAGGCCTTGACAAGGGCGATGGGGAGAACGGCGGGTGGTGGGCGTGGTGGCGTGACAAGTCGAAAAAAGTGAGAAGGCCAGTGAATCACGATGATGGGGGACCAAATCAAGGCTCAAGCTTCCTCGATATTCCCTTTTTGGTCCAGTATAATTTGTTTGCATCTCGGGTTGTGCTTGTGGCATGTGAGTCAGGCAGTCAGGGCATGCTTTGTGCTTCGTCCAGGCTGTGTTTGGACCAGCTTTTTTTTTCCCCAATTTAACCCTGCAACTACATTACTTGCATTGGCGAGTGAGCACCTATCACTGTTTTTGAGCATTGCTCCTGCCTTTGTTAACTTCTTAAAGAAAGGGTCAAAGGGAGCCTAGACTCTACTTCAGCTTCTTGTAGGCGCTGAGCTTCCCACAATGCCTGATTTAATCAGGGTTTGGGTGGGGGCTGAGTTGCATGAACAGATGTTTACCTGGGGACCCTCCTCCTCCTCCTCCTCCTCCTCCTCCTCCTCCTCCTCCTCCTCCTCCTCCTCCTCCTCCTCCTCCTCCTCCTCCTCCTCCCCCCCTTTCGACCCCCCCCTTTCGACCCCCTCGTCGCAGCAGCCGGGTCCACGTTTTCTGATTGACTTTTTGGGGGCTAGCTTTCGTTCACCGCCTCTCAAATCTGACACCTGGTCGCAGGCCATTGAGAAGAAGGCGTTCCACGAGGCTTGACGGGGGACTGCGCCAAAGGTCAGACTCCATTATACGGGGGACTTATAGGGCAACTCCCTTCTTATTTTTTTTGTTCTGTATTTCGCCGCAGATTGTCCATGAAGCAGTTGAAGGCCAGCAACTCCTTGCAGCAGGCCAAGGCAGCGCTGGAAGCCGAGCTGGAGCAGTCCAAGGCTGCGTTCAGTCGTTGAACACGGCAGTCTTTGCAGTTGGTCACTGGTGAAGCGACACTTACTAAATTGTCCTGCGGGTTTGTTGCTAAGAGAACATTGTTATGTGACGACTTCTTGTCCAACCAATCACTTGTTATTTGCACGTGAAACTACATGGAATGCCAAAAGTTGTACGCTGTGAGAGAGGGAGAGGGAGAGATTGGGAGAGAGAGACTTGCAGGCAGCGGATGTTTCGAAGCGGCCTCAGCTACGAGCTTCGCTGTGACTTAGCTATTTGGGGTGTGACTCACCCCTTTTGAATCCTTGAAGGATGGTCAACCCCACGGCTAAGGAGGAACGCCCAGGGCTGTCAATCAACGTTGGCTAGGCAGTTTTTTTGGCCAGAATCGTCGACCGGAAACAGTGAACATAGGACTCTAGCAAAGACGTGCAGGGTTTCCTGGAACGGGATCGTTTTTGATGATTTGGAGCATAGTCTGCTCTCTTTCAGAGAATACTGAGGGTCTCAAATCAGCGTTGATGGTTCACCGCATGGTCAACATCACTCTTTGGCTCTTCTTTTTTTGCCTTGTTTTTTTAGGCGCTTTGGTTGGTTTTTTTCTTTGTGTTTTTTTTTGTTTCTGGGCTTTACGCTTTTTTTCTTTTGTTTTTTGTTCATTGGTTTTTTTGTGTTTTTTTCTTTATTTTTTATTTTTGATTTTTTTTGTATTGTTTTTGTATATTTTTTTTCCTTTTGGTGCTTTTGTCCTGCCTTTTTTAAGTTGAGAGTGGTAGACCGTCATGAAGTTACACACCCCTTGGCACGGCATTTGGACGGCCATGATAAGGATTCCGGTTTGCAGGAACCGTGAAAAATCAAAAAAAAAAAAAAACGCAAATATCAACACAATAAATCGGAGTTGCCAAAGGGAGACGTTGGTTTGGCTCATGACTCGTATCATGGCGCCCCAGGTCCCCCAATAAGAAAAACATGTGTCATCTCAAAGGGGGAATGGAAGAAATGCACATGGAATTTTAGTTGTAGTTTTTTGTTTCCCCGTTCTTTTGTTGGATGCTTTTGGCTTCTTGGCTTCTTGGCCTTTTTGGCTTCTTGGCTTCTTGGCTTTTAGGCTTCTTGGCTTTTTGGCTTCTCGGCTTCTGGGCTTTTCGGCTTCTTGTTGGTTTATGCGGCTTTTGGTGGCTTTTTGTTTGGCTTTTCGCATCCTCTGCATTCCCAGTTCCTCTTCGGCAGGTGGCGGTTTGGCTTTTGCGTTTATGCGGCTTTTGGCGGCTTTGGCTTTTCGCATCCTCTGCTTTCACAGTTCCTCTCTAGGCTTTTTGGCTTTTGCACCCTTTCATTGGTTTTGGATTTGGCTTCCCGCATCATCAGCATCACCAGTTCCACCCTATTTGAATCAACACTTCTTCAAACATCATTGGGGGCCCCCCCCCCAACCCCCCCGCTACTTTTTTGATGTTTTGCAGATATTGAATTGCACCCCTATTGGAATCATCACTTTTTCGAGCGTCCAATTTAGCGAGAAAATGCTGCATAATACGATATTTTAAGTCATCTGTGTAATCCATGTATGTCTGTATGTATGCACGTCTTCGAACATCATAGGGGAAGCAATCCCCGCCAACCCTCCCGCTGCCTTTTAAATTCTATCGCACCCTTTCTTGAATCATTGCACCCCTACTTGAATCATCACTTCTTCCGACATCATGGGGGGGGGCTGTCGCCCCCCCCAACCCCTTTGCTACGTTTTAGATTTTCTACAGAGATTTAACTGCATCCCTAGTTGAATCATCAATTCTTCGATCATCATGGGGGGGCTGCCGCCCCCCGCAACCCCCCCTACTTTTTAGACTTTTTGCAGAGATTGAATTGCACCCGCTGACTTTTTACAGGGACTGAAATGTCCTCCTAATTGAATCATCATTTTTTGACCCCGTCAACCCGCCAGCTACTTTTTCGATTTTGTTACCCACGACTTGTTGGTGATGCTAAGGATGTTGGTCGGACATGCGGGGGATGTTGAACACGATGCTGGGAATGTTGACGGGCTAGTGTAAAATGCGTCAATTTCGCAAGAACATGCTGTAAAATACAACATTTTACTGGCCCGGACGAAAAACGAAAAAAGTCCAAAAAAAAGTCCGAAAAGAATCCCAAAATAAATCTGCACCCATTTTAGTTGGAGTTGTGGGGGAGAAGGCCTCCATCTTCCAATTCGATTTGGGATCAAGATCTAGCCGGAAGTGGGTGAGACCTAGGCGCGCAAAAGAGCTGGAAGAAGAGAACGCTCAGCTGCGGGAGCAGCTGAGAGTTCTGGAACAGCGTGCCTCAGCCTAACGTTCTTTAGGGCTGTGGGTTTTTTGAGGGTACCCTTTTTTGGGTTTTCTAGAGATAAATTTTGCGCATTTGTTTCTCTGAGGTTCTGCTTTTCAAGCCTACTTAATCACCGAACAAATGCTGGGGCGGGGGGGGGGGGGTCAGGAAATTGTCTTGCTCGCGCTACGTAGCCCATGTTTTCTTCGCTTTTCCAAGAGCACCAAAAGGAATTCATGTGTGTTTTCTAGATCCCCTGTGCTTGGGAATGACTCGGGATTGGTCCTAACGTTGAAGGTTTGGGCGATTCGCCCAAAATAGCCGCTAGTCGCCACTAATCATTGTTGGGCTTGCCATGGGTCTGCACCAGATGAAGATGGTGAGCTCTGGGATAGCTCTGGGCTCATAGCTGGCCGGCATGTTGGCGTGAGAATAGCCAAGACCCTCGATGATGTCGTGTCTTCCTTCTGTTGAGGAGGTTACCTTTAGAATCAAGTACACAGGGATGCCCCTTCTTTCCCACTGGAGGTTTGTGAAAGTAAGTTTGATTGACACGGGCAAGTTGCAATCATGCCATTGACTTTTCATGCAAACGATCAAGTCTGCAGAATAACATTTGGACCCCCTCCCCCGCAAGAATCGGCTCATGTTTGAAGGACGCAAGTTTCTGGAGGATCAGATCCTGCACGGGAGACTCTCCCTGACTCGGGTTTTTGGTGCCCGCAAATTCAGAGGCCTCCACGCAGGAAGCATCTGGCTTTCGTGTACCCGGTTGGGCTGAGAGATGTTCAGGGCTTCCCCTCGTTCCCTTCTTTGTTTTTGTTGGTGGGCTTTTGACATGGTCAGCTCAAGAAGGCAACTAGCACCATTCCGATTTCCCAAAGGACGCGTGCGAATGCGAAACCCGACGAAGCAAAGACAATGTTTGGAGGTTCCCCGATTTTGAGACACATGCAGAATGGGGCACTGAGGCCTGGCCGAGGCGGAGGCTCGTCTCAAGGCGCGCTTGGAACATGGATGCAGCAACCCGCTTTCCCCCGTTTTTTTTTTCTTCCACTGAACATGGTCAACCCTTTCAAGGCTTCAAAGTGTTTTCTATCACGTCGGCGCTGGTATGAGTGAGGCACCGGCCAGCCGGCCAGTCAAGTCATTTCCAAGACAAGCCCTTTCTTACCCCCAGCAATTCGGAGGGGTACTCAAAAGAGCTGTCAACATTTGCCTGATGTCCAAGGGTGCGGCGTTTTGTTGATCGGCGGTCCTTTCATAGCCAGACTTATGCACCGTTTTTTGACGGCATTTTTGGAACTCTGTTTCGACTTCACAGAAGATGCCGTTTGGAGGCATGCCAAACCCGCCCAACAGGCGGCAAAAGGGCCACCACCATCAATAGATTCTTAGATCAGTCTACGTCAACCACGGGATTCCGTTCTTCTGGAAGTCGACCAAATGCCCAGTGAAGGCATGGATTTCGCCTGTTTCTTAGGCTGAGTCGGTTGTTCTTTCAGGCTTTAACCCTTGAAGTGGTGAGTGCCCGTCGGATCCGGGAAGAGAAGTGAAGGGAACGAAGCGATCAAGAGCGTCTTAGAATAATTGTGAGGGATGGTTTCCCACCAAGCACCGGTTGGGGTGGTAATTTCAAGAATGCCACAATGGAAGCAGGAGCAATGCGTTTCAAGTGTCAGGGCGATGACATGAGGGAGCTAGACAGCACTCACTCGAGTGCCGTGGAGACTGAGGCGGGGGAGGCGCGGAGGGTGCGGATGCCGCAATCCGGCAGCTACCATCCCCACAGTGGCGACTTCCAAAAGACCAGCAATCAGGTTATAATATATACTCTTGGTGCTTCAAATCAGAGTTGGGTTCTTGTTCACCCTTTGACTATTTTTCTAACGACGGAGACACCTGTTTGTTGCTGAGGGTCGGAGAAGTTGCAAGGGACTGAGGGGGGGTCAGGGAAAGTGTTTAACCCTCCATGCTTTTGGCCTCGTCCCTTTCCCCACCTGGCTGAACAATAGGGTCACCCCGCTGGAAAATATGCCTAAGTAGTGCGTGCCGGAACGCGACGGTTTTGCTCACGTCCCAGAAGTTGGGACGATTATTCGTCATTCCGGGTTTTTGTTTTAACCCAGATCGCCCCTTTGCCTCAGTGTCCTGTCAGCCACCCAGCTCACGTTTCCAAGAAGTAGGGGAGACAGCAGCGGGGTGCGAACAGAAACAGCCTGCTGCAATGCGCATGTCTGGTCAGATAGCACAACTCCTTATTTCCGGCTTATGCATTGGCGTTATTTGCCCCAATCCGTGGCAAGGATGGCACGCATCCATGTTCCCCCGTGGTGGACGCCCCATTCGGCTTTCGGCCCATGACCTCTAAGTGGAGCTTCCTGATCATGCCAACCATTCCAATATCGGGCACCCAGAACGCTGCCACAGAATCAGTGACGCGGTTCCCCGGCTCAGCTCCCAACTCCTCGCCAGGTCGCAAAGCCCGACCAAGACAAGGTGGGGACGGATGAACCCGGCGAGCTTTTTGAACCATGTAGAAGTTACTCCCCGGATGTTTGCTAGGCAAGCGCTCATTGTGTGTGTGTGCGCTTTTTGTGCAAGAATGCCAGGGGTACCGTTTATAAAGCAAAAAAAACAGAGGCTTGTGCCCTTAGCGGAATCCTTCATTCTCAGATGGTGGTTGCTTCGATTGTTGTAGCGGTGCTCCGCTACGGATTGCGGATGAGGATTTGGGAATTCAGAAAATACACAGTAAGCCTGCGCAAGGGGTCCACCAAAAAAAGTGAAGTGCTCCTGGAAGGTTTGCTTAGCTCCAATGCATGAACAGTAGGTGGGGTGTTGTTGGTGGGCGCTTTGAAAGGGACTTGAAAATTGGGAGCAAGCCTTTCAGTCCCTTCCGGGGCCCTGGCAGGCGTCGGTTCCCTCGCGATTTGAGTTGATGCAGGCCAGGGCTCGAGGTGTTTTCTCGGGGGGGGGGGGGGGGCGCTGCTCTTTTCGCGGTAAATGGTGGGTCCCCTTGATTAAGGACTAGAATGGAAGCGGGAACCGATGGGAAGCTTATGTTAGAGCGCAGCCCAAAATCTGTTGCCCAAAAGGAGGCAGGGAGCGGTACTGGCCTCTTTTTGTCCAGATTGCCCAGCTAGGTGTTTCACGAACTACAGCTCACTTGCCCAAAGGGCCTGAAAAATATTAGTCCGTTGGAACCTTAACTCAACAAATCGACTAAAAGGGGCAAGCACAAGGTAAAACCTCGGCATATACAATCACGCAGTTCGAAACCAACCTTGCGAAGACCAAGTTTTCCCTGCCCACTAGCAGAGGTGCCAAGGCTTAGCTGTTATTTTTAGCTTTGGTGTCCAAGATGTCATCTGATGGAAAAGGCTTCATGGATGCCTATTCCAGTGCAGTCCGATCGATCGGCATCGCGGAAGAGCCAGCCAATTTATCGATCACCGCCATCGTGCGACGCAAAAGTCAGCTGGTTCAGGTATGAGGAACTTGTGGATGTTGGGACGACATTCACCACGATCGAAGCATCCAAAAGAGGCTGCGACTGCCAGACAGAGAAAAGATGACATGACAAAGAGAAAAGACGACGCGTTGACACTCACTTCTTCCATTGACTCGCGCTTGCTGCATCTCGCGGGGTGCCGTGCATGCTTCCGGTTCACGCGAAGCTGTGTTGTCGAAGGCTGCACAAGTTGGGTTATCTGGCCTTTATTTCCAACATCCCCAAACTATTCCTTCAACCTGGTCACACGCTTCATTCCAGTGAGTCGTGAGTCTTGGTCTTTGGGTTCTTCGTGGGTTACGTGAACCCTTTTGATTGCCTGGAAAATCCTTTTCACCCAAAACGGCCAAAGCTAATTTGCGAAACCTTTTGACGCTACATTTTTTTTCAGGTGTCCCTCGACCGACGCTTGCTGTCTCAGCAGCCAATTTCGCCACGAAAAACAAAAGAAACCACAGCAAATGATTTACTAGACATGTCTGAGATCCCTCGTATGAGCAAATTGCTCTGCGACCGTTGGGGGCTGAGACTCTTGCAGGCGCTGAAGGACCAGGAGCGCCGTCGCCGGCGGAGGAAGGAGGTCCGGAAAGCCTCCGCGGGCCGTGCGGTTTGGCAGGCAGGGCCTCTCGACTCGACCGCATGTCAGCACACCTTGAATCGGTCGTTCAGTATCATTGGTGGAGTTTCCTCTGGAGCAGGCCCTTGGTCACATACCGCCTTCGTTTCGTAATCTTTTACTCTCGCACAAGAGCGCGCGCATGCGCGCTCGCACGCCCTAGGCCCTAGGCCAGCTGCAACGCTGAGACAGTTTGCAACTGATAGAGCCAGATAGGATAGACAAGGGGGCCCCATCCTGTCACTAGTGGCTGGTATACGTGTGACTGCATTGTGCTTGCATGCTTGTGTGGTGGCTATCCGCAATGTGCGAGTGTGTTGTGTTTCTGTGTCGTGTTTGTGTGTGTGTGTGATGCATCCTCATATTTTGCCGGAGGCTATTGAATTTGTTGTGGTCACTCTGTGCTCTAAGAAAGTCGTGTTCTGTGCTGCGCAAGTTGCTCTGCGCAAGCGTTGTAAGAAAGCTGAGGCTTTAAAGAGAGAGCGCGCAAGCCACGAAGCAAACTTTCGAGCCCAGTTGCATACCAGAAAGGCAGTATGTCACCTTAGTTTTCTGACGTTAGTTGCGCAGAAGTTTGATCCGCGCAACGCAGAATCGTAAAACGTCGTCAGTTGTTTATCATCGACCGCGCCGATCCACGCAGAAGGCTCGCAAACCCGCCGCCTTCAATCTGAATGTGTTCTTGTTGAGCTTTACTTTCTTCTTTGACGCGCGAATGCGCTTGTCGAAGAAAACCTTGCGTGTGACTTCCTCAAGCAGTCTCTTGTGTCATCTTGGTTTGCAAACCTCTCGTGCATCATCCTCGCGTAGCTTGCTCATGTAACTCGGTTGGGCAACTAGGCGGGCTGCTGCCGGCGCCGCGGCCGGGGCCGGGGGTGGGGTCGCAACTGCGACCCGCCCCCGGCCCCAATGGTCGAGCGCTTTGTGCAAGCGGCTGGGGCCTGAGAACTCATGAGTTGTGTATGGGTCAAAATTAAACCACCAGGAATTGGACCGCAGGTTTTGGTCCACGTGTTTATCTTGGGTTGCGTTTGGGGTATCCATTTTTGACCCACAGTCAGTTTGGTCCACGCTGCTTCTTGCTGCGTGTTCATTCATCGGAGCGAAGGCGCTGTTGGTCCTGACCTTTGTGCAGCTGGGCCTGGTGGCGGCCGCGGCTGTGGCGTCGCTTGGCGGGATTGCGCTCACGTCTGAGGATTTTCCCAGAATTTGTAAGGGCCTCCCACGGTCCAAGCTCATCTCTTGCCTGAGCAAACTACACAAGGCGAACAACAAATGACAACATGTTACAATTTGGGGAAGCAGTGGGTTCAGAGGATGCCGCTGGAAGTTGCCTCAGGTGTTTATGCCATTTCGTGAGGTCTGTTAATTGTAACTAGGGCACCGCCGTGTCAAGCAAAAAAGGGATGTGACCATTCAGACAGCTGTTTCCAGCCCCAAAAAAGCAATTTCTAATTGTTCAAGTAGGAGAAGAAGCAATTTGGAGCAAAGCTGATGCCTCGGTAACAGTTAAGAACTTTTGTTTGGGCATTCGCCCTGGCTCTGGCCTGCAAAATGTGTTTTGCTTGTTGGTTGCTAAAAATGACACCTGAGTCCTGGCAGGAGTGCCTGAGTGTGTGAGCAATGGATCGTTGCCACGTGGACACGCTGATTGTAATTGAGGCCGCTTTTATAGACGGTGTGTTTCCCAATTCCGGATCCTGGGGCTATATGGGGGTCCTCTATTCTGGAAAGCTTTTGCCCCACGCCGAAGCGGAACACCGGTCAACAAATGCGAGCCTTCTTTCTTGGGAAGCAGTTACCAGACCAAGGCCTTAGATCTAAAAATTCCAGTTTTGCAGGTGTCCGCCAAAAAGGCCAAGCAGCCACACAAAGGGGGTTGCCCCAGGAGCCTTGATCCTCTTCAACCTGACTGTTTTGGGTGCCCTCTTTAATATCAAGTTTCGAGAGGGTGACAATTTCCAGATCAAAGCCTTAGCCTGGTTCCCCTAAGTTCTTCCCAGCGCAAAGGTTACAGGTTTTAGACCTAGCTTTGCAACAAAATCCCCTGTAACAAAAATCAAGGCCAGGCCCCTGATCCTCTTTAGTCTGCCTGTTTTGGGAGTTCGCTTGAATGTCACGCAATATTGTGTTGTTTTGTTTGGGGGGGAGGGTGACATTTCCAAAGCCGCAGCCGTTTACTTTGAAGGGTGGTTCACCCAAGCCCTTCCCAGCTCAAAAGGCTAAAAGCCCTAAAGGCCTTAGATCGTGGCAATACTAAATTTAGTCTTTACTAAATTAAGTACTGGGAAGCCAAGATTAAGTCTGGGCAATAATCCACTAAGTACTGGGAATGTAAGAGGAATTCTTGGCAATACTAAGTTTAGTCTTGGCAATACACAATTAAGTAATGGGAATCTAAGATTAAGTCTTGGCAATACAAATGAAATACTGGGAATCTAAGATTTAGCTTTGGCAATCCTAATTTTACAGCCAATACTAAGTTAAATACTCGGGATCTAAGATTAGGTTGTGGCAGCACTTAATTTAGAACTGGCAGTCGAAGATTAAGTCTTGGCAATAGAAGCTTTACTCTTGGCTATGCTAAGTCAAGTAAAATGTCCAACCCAGGGCCCACAAATTTCCGACTACAGAGGGTCAACATGACTGTTGGCGTTGTTTGGTAGGGGGAGGGGACCGATTAAGGCAGGTTCCACTTTACATGAAACTGAAGTCACAGGAGAAGTGCAGGAATCCCATGCAGCCTTGAAGATGAGCTGTGCGTCGCAGCTTGTGCCAAAATCCAAAACCGGCGGTGCCCAAAAAGGCGTGTCACAACTTGCGTGTCAAAACAAATGCCAAATCAGAACAAAGACGTAAATAACCACAAAAACACAAGTTGACGATTGTGTCAAAACTTGTGTCACAACTTGTTTTAAAACTCCCGACGCGCAAGAAAACGCAACAAAGTCAAACAAGTCACCAAACAGGGCCGTGTCAACGCTTGTGTCAAAACTACGACTTGTTCAATATGGCCAAGGCTTTATAGAATGGGCTAGCGCCCAGGTGCCGCCGACCCTTCCTTTGGGCAGGGGCTGGCAATCATCCCATAGGCTATGGGTTAGTCGACTTGCCCTTTGAAATCAAGCGAATTTGATGGAAAGTGTTTCATGTAGATGGAAATCGTTTTCTCGCCCTCCTTCCGTTTGGCACTGCAGCTGCTGCAGTTTTGGTCGGAAATTGATCAGCGGCAGGCTTTGGCCCACAACAGGGACGAGCCGTCGCGAAAGGTGCCGAGGCTATCGGAAAGAACGACAGCGAGCATCACATACACGTACAGTTGCCCAGAGTGCCAGGCAGAAGTGATCAGCACGTGCCAAAGCGGACGTGTAGATCAGCGCCGCGCCTGCGGCCATCAGTTTCGTGTCCGCGACGGCGTTGTGGTAAAGAGCTACCAGCATGTGTGCCCTGACTGCGGGATGATTGTGCAGAGCTCGCTTCCGTTTGGGCGGATCACAGTTGCGCACACGAAGCCGAACGGGCGACTGTGCGGGCGCCGGAGATGGCGAGTTCCGGAAGACGCATGAAATACCCGTAGGGAGGAGTAGCGAGGCCCGGCAACGAACTGCTTCGAAGCCCAGTAAGAAGTCCAGCCAAAGCCCCGCAGGAAGCACAAGAGCAGCTAAGGCACAGCCAGGGCGCAGCCAGCCAGGGCGCGCCCCGCTGGACCCAAGCGCAGCGGCACGGCGTGCAAAAAGCGACGGAAAAGGGACCTTTGGCAGCAAGCACAAGAGCAGCTAAGGCACGGCCGGGGCGCAGCCAGCCAAGGCGCCCTCCGCTAGACCCAAGCGCAGTGGCACGGCGTGCAAAAAGGAGGCTTGCAGGGTGCCTAACGGTACCTTCGAAACCCACTAAGAAGACTCGCCAGGGCCTCGCAGCCAAAGCCCTGCAGCAAGCACAAGAGCAGCTAAAGGCACGGCCGCTCATCCGCCACGGCGCCCTCCGCTAGACCCAATCCCCCGCCCCCCCCCCCCGGCCCCACCCCACGCCCTCCCCACCCGTGCGCAGTGGCACGGCGTGGCAAAAAGTGACAGAAAAAGAGCCGAAAAAATTTGCGGCTTGCAGTGGGGCCTAAACGGTACCTCGAAACCCACTAAGAAGAACACGCCAAGGGCCTCGCAGCGCAAAGCCCCTGCAGCAAGCGCAAGAGCAGCTAAGCAACGTCCCAGGGGGCGCAGCCAGCCGCAATGGCCAGGCTCGCGCGCGAGCCGCGTGCTGCACCGGCATGCGCGATTGGCACTGCGTGCAAAACGGATTCGACCGGAAAAAGAGCCGGGGGAGGTACAGTCGCGCTGAGTGCGTTGGAGGGTGCCTAACGGTACCTTCGAAACCGACTAAGAAGACTCGCCAGGGCCTCGCAGCCATAGCCCTGCAGCAAGCACAAGAGCAGCTAAGGCACGGCCAGGGCGCAGCCAGCCAAGGCGCCCTCCGCTAGACCCAAGCGCAGTGGCACGGCGTGCAAAAAGGGACCGAAAAAGAGCTGAAAATTGAGGCTTCGAGGGTGCCTAACGGTACCTTCGAAACCGCTAAGAAGACTCTCCAGGGCCATCCGCAGCCAGGAGCTCCTCAGCAGAGCCCAAGAGCAAGGCTAAGGCACGGCCCAGGGCGGCAGGCGCAGGCCAAGGCGCCCCTCCGCTAGAGCCCAAGCGCAGTTGCACGGCGTGCAAAAAGGGACCGAAAAAGAGCCGAAAATTGAGGCTTGCAGGGTGCCTAACGGCACCTTCGAAACCCACTAAGACGACTCGCCAGGGCCTCGCAGCCAAAGCCCTGCAGCAAGCACAAGAGCAGCTAAGGCACGGCCAGGGCGCAGCCAGCCAGGGCGCCCTCCGCCAAGCGCAGTGGCACGGGGTGCAAAAAGGGACCGAAAAAGAGCCGAAAATTGAGGCTTGCAGGGTGCCTAACGGTACCTTCGAAACCCACTAAGAAGACTCGCCAGGGCCTCGCAGCCAAAGCAAGGGACCGAAAAAGAGCCGAAAATTGAGGCTTTGAGGGTCGCGCAGCCAAAGCCCTGCAGCAAGCACAAGAGCAGCTAAGGCACGGCCAGGGCGCAGCCAGCCAGGGCGCCCTCCGTCAGACCCAAGCGCAGTGGCACGGGGTGCAAGAGGGTGCCTAACGGCACCTTCGAAAACCACTAAGAAGCGCAGTGCAGACTAGCCAGAGCCCGGCAGCCACAGCCTCGCAGCAAGCACGAGAACCGCCGAGGCAGGGCCAGGGCGACAGAGAGAGAGCAGCAGCAAACACCATTGCAGCGACCGACCAGCCTGGCAGAAAGCTAGCGCACCTACGGCCATTCGATGGGACCTTCGGTATCCCAGGCGCCGCCCCGCCTGAGCACGCTCCTAGGCGGGGTCGGCGGATATGTCCTGTAATTTAAAGTACTGCTGGTGTACATAGCAAATGATAGTTTGTTCCTAAATTAAAGGCCTTTAGCCTCTGAGCAAAAAAAACAACAACAACAACACAGTGACATTAAAGATAATTGAAGAGGGTCGGGGGCTCCTGTGGGCAACCCCCTGCTTGTGACTGTTTGGCCTTGTTGCTTTTTGGATTGATAGTTTTGGGACCACGTGCAAAGCTGGATTTTCTGGATCTACGGCTTCAATGTGTTGTTTCCAAAGAAATGAAATCACGTTGTTCATACGTTTTGGAATGGGCGAAAACACATGCCACAATAGAGGACCCCAGAAGCAAACTGTCTATGATAGCGGCCCCAATTCAAGAAGAAACGGGCCCAACATGTTTGATCGCGGATCCTAAAGCTAACCCTCGCAACACCACTGGGAACACTTCGACAAAAAAGGGCAGCTATCATCGTCGCATATTTAGCCATACCTTGAAGAGTTTTGGGTTGAAGCAGGAAGGGTCCAATGGTGCAGAGTCTCCCAGAACCTACTTGCAAGCTTGTTTGCCTGTCTGAAACCAAGCTTGCTTTAGACGCCACTTTAAAAGAGCCGCGAAATAGCACAAGCGGGACATATGTGAATTCTCGTGTTGGAGTGAAGGGCAAATCCAAGGCAACACCTAGAAGCTCGGCAACACCTCCAGCTAGAACAAATGTGCCATTCTTTAGCCATCGAACAAAACACACACACTTTTTGTTTTTTTCTCCAAAGAAGACCGAAGGCGGTTGGCCAAACAAAGGTCCTAGACCTCACGAAATAAGAAGATGCAAGGTGTTTGGTCAAGTCTGAGGCGAGAGTCTTTAAGAAGATCCCAAGGTAATTCGCCCTTTAAGAGTCTTTCTGGCATGAGTCCTTTCTGGCATGAGTAATTTCCCCTTAAGATCCCTTTAAGCGTCTTTAAGGAGATCCCCTTTCCGGCACCTGATGTCGCCGAGCTCCCAGGGCAGCCGTGGCCTTGCAGCCGCCAGCCAGCCGGCGCTGGCTGCGCTCGAGGATCGGTGGACGCCGTTTGCTCCGTGCGGTTCGTCAAAGGCGTCGGTGGATGTCACGTTGCTGTTTTTACGTAGGAGGTGTTGCAACAACGGTTGATGTGGGTGAATTCTAACGACCTCACACGACCTCACCCCAAATGGTGGTTTATGTGGGGAATGGCCCCCCAACCACCTTATTTCAGGCTGGTGAAATATTATAGTTCACCCAGATTGATGATGTGGGGGCTTCTTCAAAAACCGGAGTTCCTAGAAGACCTAGAAGATCTAGGGTGTGGATCAGGACCTCAGTTTGCCAGTGCTGAGTTCAGCGCTGGCAGTACTAAATTCAGTGTTGCCAAGACTAAATTGGAGTTTGTCCTATTTTTGTTCCTTTGGGGGCAAACAAATCTATGATTGTGACCCCCAAACAGTCAGTTCTTGAACTAGCTTTTGTCATTGCGCCATATCGCTATGGGATCCTGAGGCAGTTGTTATGTTTGCCCGTGTTTTGTTGTGCTTGTGGCTCCCAAGATCTCCGCCAAGCAGCCCTGTCAAAAGCATGGCACCCAATTCCCAGCCTCTTTGCCAGTGATTCCTTTTCTTGTCACGGCGATCTGCAGGCTGTTCCTTGCCTGGAAGGCGACCGGCAGGGTGCCCAAGCCTGGAGCTACCTGGGAAGGCCTTCACTAGTTCGCTAATTTGGATTGATGCTTCGGAGGTGTTGCGGGGGTGGTTTCCTCTTTATCCTCAACCAACCCTGAGCTAAGAGATGCTGTACATTTGAAGGACACCTTCATTGCGTTATCTCAATACGAGCTCCCCGCAATCAGTTGGAAGCCGCGCACACACACTCATTTTGCGCGCAAGAGGTTTGGCTCACGCCCTCGGCTTTCTTCCTGAAGGTTCCCATCCGAGTCGATTCGCAGAAAACAGCTAGCGCGGGGTTGGCGCTGCGCAACAAACAGGCAAGCTTCCGGGATTCCCAGCAATGTGTGCAAGGTTCAACTAGCTTTAGTTCGGTGTGACAGTTCTGGTTCAATTTGCGCAGGGTCGTTCTACAAGCGATACAAGTACCGAGAGCCGGAATGCTTCGAATCCGAGCTCTTAGATCCAAACGAAGCTCCATGTCTGAGACGATGTCTGGAGACGTCAGCCCGGCGCATTTCTATTGAAACTCATCGGAGGGGTTTCTGAGGCTCAATCTGCTCCATAAGTCAATAGGTTAACTGGAAGGCATCGTTCCGTCGGAAGCGGCAGATGCTTACTAGTGAGTGGTGGGTCACGGGCTGATAAGCAGGCGCAGCCTGGTAGGTCATGGGCTGCTGATACCCCGCTGCCGGCTGGTTGGTCGGGGAAGGGTTGGGCAAGCGTCAGGGCCATTAGAGCTGGAAGACTTCCCTTTGATAGCGAAGTTCATACATTTGCAGGAGTAGGGGCAGCGTGTAGCTAGCAAGCAGTCTTGGATTTGCCTTATGTTGTAGCAGCTCATGATACGGGGCATTGGCCGCGCACAGTGGGTTTGGTTTGGGAGACTGCCTAGCGAATCAGATACAGCTGAATATTCCTTGGCTGAGTTTTGTCTTGATTGGTGATTCACCTTTGCGTTTTGCATTGCTTTGTGCTGGTGTATACAGCCAGTCCTCGTTCAAGCGAAGGTTTTGGCTTTGAGTTGCACAGGGGCTTAGCCACAGCTTCTGCATTGTTGACAATTAGGGCAACCGCGGTTGGTCTCCAAAAAATCATGGTTACAACCTATATGCCTGACGTTGGTTGAACATCCAAGTACGACTGTTTTTCACCGTTCTTCCCTTCGGCTGCCTCCCTGGCTCCGTCATTACCCTTGACATTGGGGAAGCGGCGTCGGCGCCGGCAACTCCAGGCAAGCAGACAGAGGTGCGGGGAAGTGACGGTGAGCCAGGTTTGTGGATTTGCGCCAATTTGGAGATTAGCTGAGTGAAGCTGGTGTGTGACCCTTTTCCATAGGCTGAAGTCAGAAGATGTTCATTGCAGGGGTAACCTTGGGGTGAAAAACCGTTGGCAACGTGAGGCCTGTTGAGCGTCGCCTTTCGGCACGACAAGGTTTGGCCTCAGGAGTCAGAGCCAGCGCCGTTGCCCGCGCCGATGGAGCCACAGGACCAGGCCCGGAAGCGGCGGGGAAAAAGCCGGGTATGTTAATTCACGCTAAAGCCCGTGACTGACCCTTGAGTTTCGTTTGTCATCAAATCAAGGCAGGTCGCCTCAAAGAATTGCGCAGGGTGCCAAAGTCAGGGTCGTCCAATCTCCAGTGAGAGATGGGGACATGTTTGCTCGGGACATTAGAGTTTCCAGGGCTCCAGAAAGTATGTCTCCACTGAACATCGCCCCAAACGTCATTCACAAAACAAATTGGCAACCAACATTGCAGTTATACTCAAAAAATGCAACCACCATAGGGGTTCCTTTCACAAGCAAAACACACTACAGGTGATGTGGTTTCAATCCACAATGTTGGGCGAAGTATAGGGATAGTAGCAGGTCCGGGATGTTTTGGTGCCGATCCCCGGACTTTCAGGAGAGCGTCCCGGACTCTGGCGAGGCGTCTCAGGCACGAAAAGGGCGCAGGCTGAATGGACGACTTGTTGTGTGTGTGTATTTTTTCATGGTGAAATTGATTTAGTTCAAGCCTTATGGTGCCCCAAATCGCATTGCAAGTGATGTATCCCCTTGTGTGACTCTTTTCTTGGTTCTTTCGGATGGGCGCTGCCTTTTGTTCTTTGTGACTCAGTCAGTCAAAACCAAGCCGTTGCCTTTGGATTTCTACCAGGTCCTAAAGAGACAGATTCCCCAGCTGCAAACATGCTCGTGTGGTTGGGCGGTCCCCTTTGAGTCCGTGAGGCAAAGGTTTGTTCATGCGATTCGAGCTTTTAGGGCCCAACTAACCCCCATGGGAGGCTCAGGTATTGAAAGAAGCAGCTTAGAGAACTCCCCAAGTCTGGGTCTGAGTAACCCTGGATGTTCGTTCAGGATTGCTATTCTTAATCTCTTAGCAACCCTTGAGTCGTTGTTGGGCTGGCTAGCTTTCGTTCACCCGCCTCTCACGTGTTGGTCACGTTGAGTACTCCACAAGATGTCAAGCTTGATTTTATCGGCTTGGGCAAGTGAGATGTAGGTTTCATTGTGTTTCAAGCTCACACGCACATGTTTCCCTTACTGAAAGGCGGCAGGCAGTTGGTTGCACAAAGCTCAAAGTGTCTGGTTTTATTGGGCAAGACAATCTCACAGCACTTTGTCCATGTTGAGGGTGCTGAAGAGGATCCCCTTCGGGACCCCGTGAAGTTTGGTCTTTGGTCTCTTTCCAAAGCCATAGAATATGCAGGATTGGGCAAAGTCTGTTCAGTTTTCAGACTAGTAGTTATGCCTCCTTGCAAGGACATCTACAGGAGGATGTTCAAGCGTCGGTTCAGGCAAGTTAGCCAAGTGGAATTGGAGATCCCGGAGGGTTGCGAACCGGGGACACCTTTACCGTGGGGCAGGAGATGGAGATCGTTGTGCCAGAAGGCACGGATGCAATGTTCTTGAGAGAGGAGGGCAGAGTTTGAGCCAGGAATGTCACTTAAACTTAGTTCCACAGCCTTTGGAGTTTGATCTCTTTTGGGATGTGCTTTCAGTGCTTTTAGTAACTCACGCCTGTGACGTCACGAGATTGCAGAGTGTCCATGGTGTCATACGGGCTTTGACTGAAGCGACCGGGACTAGGCACGACTCTGAGGCTGCTTCCCCGGCTCCGTAATGAGCCTTGACATTGGAGCATCGCCGCCGACGACACCTGGCTCCACGGAGGCGCTTACGCGGGTACGAATGGCATCTTGTGACAAGTGAAGGCAGGAGGGTGAAGCTGGTGGCAGGAGTAGGTGTCAACCACCAGGTTGGACCCTTGTCCAAGCTGCAGGTTTGAAGCATCTTTTGAATGGTGTTCATTGCTAGGGTTAAACCATTTGAGAGCAACTCGCATGGGTCAAGCCCGAAGCTTTGGAGGTTTGGCTGGTTGCGTTGAACCTCAGGCGCAGAAGGTACTTGTACCGACCCTCCAGGACTCTGTGGAATTGCTAGATCAAGCACCAAGTTCGATCCGAAATAGCTGCATCAAAACCGGGACTTCAACAAGCATCATTATCGGCTTTGTTTTCTTTTCTGTCCCTCGGTAGCTTTTGCAACAGTTGAAATAGTCACTCATGGCATAGTCAAGGCAACCTGCTTCGATTTGATTTATGCATCCAGGTCCAGCTGACTTCCGCCCTCTCACTAACATGGCAGTCTTGCACAGGTTCAGCCAGAGCCGACTGCCACCCAGCCAGTGACTGCGGAGCCTGTGTAGCCTTCGAGCCAGAGGCTATCTGCGGGCCGGGGTGTTGCTCAAAACCCTTTGGTAGATGAAGGAGTTAGTCAGGGACTATGACTCACGTTCGAGGCTCACCTCTTTTTCCTTAGCCAAGTTTCTACCCTTGCCAGGCGTGGAGACACCCCTTCAAAGTGACAACCGACTTTTAAGCTTTTATTTTCGCTTTTGGGAATTTACAGTACATCACCCCTTAGACCAATTTGGATTCAGACTCCTTGTTAGCATCAGACACCCTGAGGTGGCCAACATGGGCTGCTTTTCTGCCGGTTCCCGTTTGGGTCACCTCTTCGAGCGGCCAAGGGACTGTCTGAATTTTGCGAAAGTAACTCTTGGTATCAACACAGCGGGATGTTCTCGCTCGTGTGCCATGGACTTACGGTTGAAATTAGAGGCGTTCGGAGCAGTTACTTTGGATACCAAGATCCGTTACACGCTTTCAAGTTCATTTGTGCCCCTGTCACAAGCTGATCTCAGATGGCAAAGCGATCAGGGCCATGAACAGCCTTTGCGCAGTGCGGCATGGTCAGATGCAATGTGGTGTCATGAGCTACAGGCAAGATGCCATCTAAATGATAGCTGCCAACAGCTCCTGACATGTTCGAGGCATGTGTCACCCCACTCTCCGACTGCTGAATCACATGTTTCATCTCCCGGATATGATCGGACCCGCCTGGCAGGTATTCAGCATGGTCACCTTTTTATGCGGTCACCAGGTCACCTCCTGCACTCTACATGCTGCAAGCTTCCGATTGTGCCATGCGTGCATCGTTTACAGAGAGCTTATCGAGCCGAGTCTGGCCGAAGTTATCCCGTTGACACATTTTTGTCGGGTCCCCCATCCAAGCCACACAGTCAAATGCGTCCCAAAATAGCCTCAAGGTCACAGGCCATTGGACATGGCAGGAGCAGATGGTGAAGCTGAAGATTGAGGTCCCGAAGGTCTTCGAGCTGGAACCCCGGCAGATCTGAAAGGGAGAACTTGACAGCAGGTAAAAGGGCCTACAAGCCTCAACATAGTCGACAATTGGAAAGCCTAGCCCTCAGCAAGGTATCATCGAATATTGAATTGTTGGGTCGCGGGGTGCCATAAAACCAAACTGCATTCGATTTAGAGATGTGTGTTGCTGTACGGGAGTACTTGTTGTGTACGCATGGAAACATTTGATTATGTGTAATGTAGTTTTTCCCCAACAGCTAAATGCTTTGGGCGGCCCTAAGGTAAGGTTTCACGAGGGTTTTGCGAGGGTTCCACCAGGGTTCCACGAGGGTTCCACGAGGTTCTGCGAGGGCTGCGGGGTCCGGGGAAGGTTCCACGAGGGTTCCACCAGGGTTCCACAAGAGTTGCTAAGCAAAACCGGCGGCAGTGGATTGGATTGGTTGTTTGGAGCTTCCCGCATCTTGGTCGGGCCCCGATTTTGCTTTCGGGCCCCGATTGGGGCCGGCTGGCACCGTTGGGCCCCGGTCAGGCACCGTCGGCTGTACCTGTGTGCAGGTAAAGCGGCGTCCTAAGCAAAACCGGCGGTGTCTATGATTGGTGGCTTGGATCGGTGGTTTGCTTTACGGGCTGCGGTCGGCGGTCGGGCCCGAGCAGAAAAAGCACCGCGTGCCGTTATATATGTACACGTGTTTCTAGGTATGTTTTTGGTGGCGGCGCCCACAAGCCGCCGGGACTGTTGTCACTTTTCAGACTTGGTTTTGCCACGTCTCTTTGTCACGACAGGCTTGCAGGTGCAGTCATAGGTGTCGATGTTGCCGACATGTCGGCTCCGGCTGGCAGCGTTGAAACGAACACCCAGAGAACAACACACACACACACAATTGCTGAAACCATCACTCGAACAAGCAGCAATCAAGACAGCAAGCAATCAAGCAAGCAATCAAGCAAGCAAGCAGGCAAGCCAAGCTAGCAGCCACAGAACCCACAACTAACTAACACATCACCCAACCAAGCAACCCACAACCAGACAAAGAAGCCAGCACGCAATTGAACAAACACATGAGTGCGCGCGCGCGTGGTGTGTGTGTGTGTGTGTGGGTGTGTGTGTGTGTGTGTGCGCGTTTGTGTGTGGGTGTGGGTGGGTGTGTGTGCGTGTGTGTGCGTGTGTGTGTGTGTGTGTGTGCTGTTTGCACGCAACACTCAGCCGCCGCATGTCTCAACTCTTGCCACGGCAAGTCGAAGCAAATAAAGCCGACATGTGTCACACTTGCGCGCGTGAGAGCGTGTGTGCTAGCGCGGATTTCTGCAAAGTTTGCCCCTTTTAGTTTGTGACTGATAAGCTTCGGTGTGCGTGCATGTGCTAGTGCGGATATCTGCAAAGTTTGCCCTTCTGTGAATGATAAGCTTGGTGTTGCGAGCTCTCTGCAAGGGTTGCTCTGCGCAAGTTTTCGGCCCAAGTCTGCCGCGCAACTTGCTCTGTGTGCGCAAGTGCTCTGTGCAAGTTGCGATACGCAAGCGCTACGCACAAGTGTGCTGCGCAAGCTCATCAAGTTTCCAGGAGCACGTTCTCCGAGCAAGTTCTTGGGCCGGAGCCAGGGGGAAATCGAACCCGCGACCGCGGGGTTGCGAAAGCAGGCGCGCAAACCACGCGACAACTTCCATAGGCCACTTCGTGAGCAAGAAGTTTGCGCGGCGCCACAGCGAGAATCGTAAAAAGCTCCAGTTTTTGCTCATCGACCGCGCCGATCCACGCAGAATTACACTTGCACGAGACATGTCGACACGAAAGTAACGAGATATCACACAGCCAAATATCACACATCCAAACTTGCACGAGACATCCGAATTAGTCTCTCAGTAGTTAGTCTCTTGTTAGTCTCTGATTAGCTAATCTCTCAAGGCGGCGCGGTGGGACCGAACCCACCCTGCGAAAATGACACCCTCTGCGGGGATTGGTGTGGTTGAGGTGCGAAAACTGCGACTTCTTACGACTTGCCTTCTGCGGGGATTGGCGTGGCCAATGTGCAAAAACTGTTTTACCATTTCTGCGGTTCGCGCGCGACCCTCTGCGGGGATTGGCGTGGCCAATGTGCAAAAGCGGACTTTTTACGATTTCTGGCGTCCCGCGCGACACTCTCGTTACTTTCGTGTCGACATGTCTTGTGATATCTCGTGCAAGTTGTTCTCGCGCAAGTTGGCTCGTGCAAGTTGGCTCGTGTAAGTTGGCTCGTGCAACTTGGCTCGTGTAAGTTTGGCTGTGTGATAAGGCTGGCGATTTTACCGGAAGAACCCTTCGCAATGCTTTCGCGAAAAACCCTCCTAGGAGGTCCATTTGAGCCGCAAACTGTCTTCTTACGAAAACGTCAAGCGGGGCCCACCCAAACAACCTGGCAGCCGAGGCACGCGCCGCCGGCTCTCAGGCGGGGTTCCCAGCTAGCTCTGCAAATACGTGCGCGGTTGGCAAGAAGGATATTTTTTTTAAAAAAATATGAGGAAGACAGGAAGACAGGAAGGAAGGGAATCAGGAAGGAAGAAAAACATGAGGAGGGGGGACAAAGACAGAAGAGTAATAAAGACTGAAAGAAAGAAGAGGACTTAGAAAGAAACGTTAAAATCGGATTGTTGTTTACTACAAGTGGAAGTGCTGTAATGTTGTTAACACAAACAAACCTGTAGTCTGCACAGCTCCTATTTTGCAGTGGGCTCTGCATGTAGTAAGGAGCTCAAGGCCTGCGGTCATGTACGAGCTATCATTGACAGGGTCCCTCAGTTAAAGATCTTGTAGTATCTTGTCAACTGAAGTGGAAATGAGTATTGACAGTAGTGATGAAAACGGATGTTGTTCATCCATGCTACTGTAGTGAAAAGAAAAGAGGTGTAGTCCTCAGTAGCTCTCGCTGTTCAGGATTCAGCCCCTGATGTAGTCGGACTGAACGGAGTTCGTGAGGGAGCGCCTGATGCTGTAGTCCAGCATGTAGTTTCATGCGTGGTCGCGCCAGTCGTCCCGTTGGGACTGGCGAAAATCTTGTAGTGCTGGAACCGTGTTGGGCCCGCTCATGCAGTTCAGGATTTCCTGACCTGAGCCCCGTTGTCGCCCTTGCTTGGGTTGACTGGCATTGTGATTCGTGGTTGCCTGAGGGTGCGTACTAGCTGGGAGTGTAGTTCATCTGAACCATGTGTGTTGGTCAACAGGTAGTGGCCGTTGTTCTGTAGTCTTCGTGTACGTCGTGTAGCACGCTCGACCGTGCTGTCGTTGCGGGGCTGCAGAGGTGTAGTAGTTGTTGGGTGTTGATCAGTACACGGTAGTCCCAAATGTAGGCGTTGGACAGGGTGTAGTGCAGGGTGAAGTGTTGTTGTTGGGATCTTCTCAGTGTAGCCTTTTGCGTGCAGGGATTGCTTTTTTGATGACGTTGTCGCCGACCGTAGACGCATCTACTTCGTCCTAGACGTCATGTAGTTTCATTTGATTTGACTCGAGTAGTTGTGCCTCGTCATAGCCTTCATTGTTGAAGCTTATGGGTCGGTCTTCTGAGGTGTCGTCGTTTGTGTAGGAGGTGATGGACCTTCCGTTGGACAGTGTTACTGCTTTAAGCTTTTGTCGTACTGGTTGAGATTCTTTGGTTGCTTGTTCCGCTGTAGTGTCCTTCAAGGTCTTTTGTGCTTTAGTTGGTTGCATTGCTTCTTCCGGACTCCTGCGTTGTAGTGCTTGTTGATGTGGTGCTGCTGGTAGCAGTGGATGTTGCCGTCCGGTCGGTGAAGTAGCCATGGGGGTATCCGGTAGTGGTCGTGAACTTGACGTCAAGGTCGACAGTCGTAGAGGTGACGTAGCGCGTGGTTGTTTCGTTGCGGGTTCCGTGACGATGTTGTCCGTCACGTTCGTCTGTTGTCCAGCGTCTTGTGTAGATCGTTTCTTTTCAGACGATTGGAGTTGCGTGTCTAACAGGGTTGCGAATGACGGGTTGTAGGTGTTCCGTCGCGGCCCCAAGGTGTGCCGGAAACCTTGTTTAGTAACGCAAGATCGTACTTGAAGTCCGGTTGTCAAATCAATTGTGATAATTATAACAGTGGACGAATTCTCAAAATGACAATAATGGAAACAAAGACCGAAATGTTAAAATAGAACAAACGTCAGAGTCAAAATACACAGAAGAATAAAGTTAAAAATGACAATGAAGATAAACATATTGATGATAATTATAATAATCATAGAGGTGAGAGTTTAAGTAACGATAAGGATTCCAGTCATTCACAAGCAAAATTAAGAATGAACGACAGCAATTCAATCATTAAATAGAATAGGTAATATAAGTAATAATATATCAATACCATATATAATTGAAAATAAATATGGTTGGGATAATAAGTCTAAGATTGATACAACATATTGTACATCAAATAATAATGATGCATGGTGTGGTTTTGTTAATAATAATAGTACATATTTACCACCTGCAGCATATTATAGTAATGTTGAGTTTATTGATAATGGCATTTCGTGTCATTTTCGCCAGTCTGATTACCATTTACAGCACCAGTATATATTTTTCGTTTATATTGTTATTTGTCTCAATATTTGTACCATCGTTCATTGCAGTCACATCAGTGGTTTGATGATGCTCTGTTTTTGGTCTCTTAGGCATGTTATCATTTTTCAATGCCAATGGTGGCCGCCGCGATCTATGCATTGTGTTGCAGATTGTCGTTGATAAAAAATAGACGCCCTGTTGCGACGTAGTTTTCGCCGGTTTCGGAAACATTCATATGCATGTCTGAATTCGTAGCTCCATTAGTTGTGTAGGTGTTATCTTTCTTCTGAATCTGGTTTCTCCAGTCCAGTTGTCACCTTCAAGTCTTGTCTGTAGTTCTTGCTTGGAAAGTTGTTTGGTGTTCTCTTGTAGTTGTTCTTGGCGTTGCCCTTGTCTGTTGATGAGGGTTAGTCGCCACTCACCTAGTTCGTCTTCTGGTATTGGGCGCCCGCTGTTGTGCGGGGTGTAGAGTGCTTTGCTCTGATGGCGAGTTTCCAGTAGTCAGTGTTTCCACTCAAGGATTTGTCATCGTCCTTGGTCTGTGTGCTTTAGTGGTGCATTTGTTCTTGTTGTTGTTTTGCTTTCTCTGTAGGTTGGATCACAGCAATGGATTTTCCATTGTCTGTAGTCCGTAGGTAGAAGAGTGCTGAGTGTCTGGTGAGATGTGCTTGTTGCTGTCGGTGTGTGATGGTGCAGTGTCGTGGGTCGAAGTCGAGTCCATAACCTCTATCAAGTAGTCTTGATGCACTGAGGATAGGCTTGTAGGGAACATACTTGATGCCATAGACAGGGATCTTCTTGCTGTTGGTAAACAGTGTAGAGCTGTGGAACTGATTCTCCACAAGGTCGTAGCGTAGTCCTTTGGGCACATCTGTGTAGATGCTCCTGAGTCGATCAGCAGGTGGTGGTATGACTTGAAGTTGGAGTACATAATGTAGTGTGTGATGTTGTCATCAGTCTTCTTTTGTCTTTGCTTTTGTGTTGCTGCTGCTATGTCGAAGTGCAGTTGTGTTGTGTCCTCTTGTAGGAATTGTTGAAAGCTTTTGCTGTAGTCGTTCCATGATGTTGTGTGTGATGCTTTCTTTTCCAAAGTAGTGTTTGGGTTTGTGCTGGCTCACGGTAGTGATTGTGCTTGTCTGACGTGGTACCCAATTGTGAGGTGTGACTCGTTGATGCCTCCACTGTAGTTTGCTGCATCTTCATAGCTGTTGTCATTCCAATCCCAGTTGTTGTCGTAGTCGTAGTTGTTCCAACTCTCCTCCATGTAGCTCACATCGTGTCCATGTCCTTCTTCGTAGTACGAATCTGAAGTGTCGTTCAGATCCTGAGGTAGTTCCTCATTGCTGTCCCGATCTTGTTCTTGGTCTGGTGGATGTAGTTCTTCTCCTTCTCCTATGTGCCACACAGGCGCACAGCAGTCCTGTGCCCAATGGCCAGGTTTGCCACACTGGTGGCATGTCATGTAGTTGTTGCTTCCTTTTCCTTTTGATTTGCTGTAGTTTCCTTGGCCTTTGTAGCCTTTGCCTGATCCATGGCCTTAGCCCTTTCCTTTGCTCTTGTTGCATCCTCCTTTGTTGTAGCTTCCTCTGTGGCCTTTGTCAACTCCTTTGTAGTATCCTTTGCTTCTGTACTCGCCTTTGCCTTTGTTTCCTTTGTAGTGGCCTTTACCTTTTCCTTTGTAGTTTCTTCCTTTTCTCCAAATGTTGTCAATGTGTATTGGTGCAGGTCCTCCGACTGCTCTGATCTCGTTGTAGTTCGTGATCTGTCCAGCGCTTAGTTGGAGATGTTGTTGGAGTGCTCCGTTGGTCTTGTTGAGTAGTATTGCAATCTTTACTCCATCTGGTAGTGCTGTGCCGCGGTCTTTGTCGTAGCGATTGATGTCGTATTCCCATTGTAGGAACTGCTCTTCAAACTGCGCTTCATTGAATGTAGGTTCCAGTAGTTTGGTAAGGTAGCCAACGCTTCGAGTTCCTACTGGTAGGCTGAACCAGTCGTAGTGTTTCACATCCATTTGTATTGTAGCGGTTTTGCCTTACCACTGTAGCTGCTGCTCCATGACATATGTTGATGAGTGGCAAGGTCTACTGCTTTGCTTGCTTGTGTAGGGTCGCGTATGTGTGCTCTGATGTCAAAGAAAGGAAGGAAGGAAGAAAGAAAGAAGGAAGGAAGGAAGAAAGGAAGAAAGAAAGAAGGAAGGAAGGAAAGACAGAAAGACAGAAAGAAAGAAAGAAAGAAAAGAACAAAAATAAGGAAAGAAAGAAAGAAAGAAATAAATAAAGAAAGAAAGAGAGAGACAGAGAGAGAAAGAAAGAGAGAGAGAGAGAGAAAGAAAGAAAGAAAGAAAGAAGGAAGGAAAGAAAGAAAGAAAGAAAGAAAGAAAGAAAGAAAGAAAGAAAGAAAGAAAGAAAGAAATAAAGAAAGAAAGAGAGAGAGAGAGAGAGACAGACAGACAGACAGAACGAAAGAAAGAAAGAAAGAAAGAAAGAAAGACAGACAGACAGACAGACAGAAAGAAAGAAAGAAAGAAAGAAAGAAGGAAAGAAAGAAAGAAAGACAGAAAGAAAGAAGGAAGGAAGGAAAGACAGAAAGACAGAAAGAAAGAAAGAAAGAAAAGAACAAAAATAAGGAAAGAAAGAAAGAAAGAAATACATAAAGAAAGAAAGAGAGAGAGAGAGAGAGAAAGAAAGAGAGAGAGAGAGAAAGAAAGAAAGAAAGAAAGAAGGAAGGAAGGAAAGAAAGAAAGAAAGAAAGAAAGAAAGAAAGAAAGAAAGAAAGACAGACAGACAGACAGACAGACAGAACGAAAGAAAGAAAGAAAGAAAGAAAGAAAGACAGACAGACAGACAGACAGAAAGAAAGAAAGAAAGAAAGAAGGAAAGAAAGAAAGAAAGACA